GCTCATTTCACACGGCCGGATGGGACAAGGTGCTGGTGACGTGACTCCCAGACCCAAGGCTGGGCCCGGCCCTGCCACCACCCAGCGTCTCGGCCACAGACAACACTCGCAGGAGCTGGGTTCCGTCCTTTACTAAAGCTCTTACATGGGAAACAAAAGGGCCCAACAGTGTTCCTTGTCTCGGAACCGGCATGTCCCCCCCAGGACCACGAGCCTCGTCCCCAGGGACATCGGCCAGAAACGGTCTCCCGAGGGCACCCCTGCTGCTGACGGCTCGTGGGGGTGGAGACCACCCCTCCTCCGGGTCCCCGGGGAGAGATGCGCCCCCTCGACAGGGCAGGGTGGGTTCAGGGGTCCAGGCAGCCTGGGGTGACCCCCAGTGCAGCCCTCACCCCACCTGCCTGCCGGGCCCCTCCTGGGTCCTCCCTTTCCATGAGGGTCCGGGTGCAGAGGTGCAGGCAGACCCCGGGAGGGCCCTGGATGATGGTGGAGGAGGCAGGTGGCACGGGGGCCGAAAGGGAGGCACTCAGACCAGCAGGAGGGCCCTGCAGGAGGGCCCGGGGCGGGCGTGCAGGGGCGCAGCGAGTGGGACGGGAGGATCACACGATGGCCTGGTTCGGCAGCCCGTACAGGACCAGGTTGAGGCTGATGGAGGGCCACTCAGAGCCGTGCAGCTGTGGTCGGAGCATCAGCCTGTTCTTGGGGGTCTGTGGAGACTCGTCTGGGGGAGAGGGGACAGGAGGCTCACCGGGAGCAGGAAGTCCGGGGCCCCAGCCCAGGGCCAGGCGCCTGGGTGGGCGGGGAGGGGGTGCTCCTGGCTCTGACTGCGACACAGCCCCCAGGCCTGGACGCTGCTGTGAACACACCCCCGGGCTTTCAGACTTGGTGAGACTTGAACCGTTTTAAAGACAAATCAGCAGATCTAATGGCCAGAGCTTCCCCTGAGGAGCGCAGAGGCCCGGCCCAGCTGTGGGCCCGTTTGCAGGAGGCCGTGCGGGCGTGGAGGTGGGGCTCTGACCCTGCAGGTGCGGGAGGGTGGGGGCGTGAGGCGGACAGTCTAGTTACCGTGGCTGACCATTTCACCAGCTTCCATCCTCTGAAGGAGACGGGCCACTTTCCCGGTTGTCTTGCCAAATGCCAGCAGATCTGGGGAAGAAATTCCATCTCAGAGATGTGGACCCTCCCCCCCCACCCCCCTCACTCCCACCGCGGGCTTCCATGGAGGCTCAGGGTGTGGGACAGGCCGGCACCACGCACTTTCCCACAGGACGTTGGCCCTCAGCGCGTTGTCCTGCAGGGTCGTCGGCCACTGGTTCGCCAGGATGCTCTTGACCCCCACCAGGCTCAGCAGGATGGCCGTCTCGATGGGCTCCTCCAGGGCCAGCTGGGGGACGCTGCAGGGGACCGAGCTCCCGTGGGACAGAGCCCGCTCCGTCCTCACCCCAAACAGCACCAAGGGCTGGAACACGTATCTGGACTGACAGCTCTTCAAACTTCCCACCCCCAAACTTAAATGCCACAAAAAAAGGCATTCAGATCCCTCTGCAGGGCACCCCCTGTGAGAGGAAGTCCAGGTCCCTGGGGTGCGCGTGCTGGGGGCACCCTCCCAACTGCCGGCCCTCTGGCTCCCGGCCCAACCCCAGCAGCCTCGAGGCTCCGGTGGCCGGTGGTCAGCTGCTGGGGCCCCCGAGACTTCGCAGGGAGGGTGTGGGAGCCCGTCATGGAGGCCTGGCTCCCTCTTGGGGCTCTGCCCACATCTTGCAGGGGCACTCCCCGCCCACCACTCCCCATGGGATGTGCCCATCATTCATATGCCCCCCACGCCCCCCAGCAGCCTCCACAAGCCGGGCTGCCAGCAGGGCCACCAGCACCTCTTGTGCTCCGAGGACTCCAGCGTCCGTCGCATGCTCTCGTAGGACCGGCTCAGGTCCAGCAGGACCATCAGCCGGCAGTCTGCAGGACACAGGCGGGGGGAGGGGGGTGCAGGCTGGCGTCTCCGGTGCAGTGACCACAGAAACAGCCCCAGCTGCCCGAGGCCTGGGTGTGAACTGCAGGCCCTTTTCTGGGTCACTGGCCGCACGGACGCTCAGGGCGTTATCTGCTTCAGGAGCCCACACCCGTCTCAGCCTCCTTGTGCCCTGGGGCCCCAGCAGGCCCCGCCCTGCGAGGGGGTCTTGGCTCCCAGCACGCCACCCCGACCAGGCATCTGGCTTGGACCGGGCACAGGGCGAGGAGTTGGTCGCCCTGGCCCCCATGCCTTCAGACAGGGGCCAGTGTCCGAGATGCACCGGGGTGGGCATGCAGCGGCCCCACAGATGCAGAGGCCCACCCCGCTCCCAGGACGGCCTGGCTGGGCTGGGCCTCGGGCGGCCCCGGGGGCAGGCAGACCCTCCAGCTTTTACACACAGGCCTGTGGGGAGCAGTGGGCCTGGCGGTGCCGTGGCCCATGAGGCCTGTGACCTTCACATTTCTGGGCTCCCTGGCCATCCCGTCTGGGAAGGCTCGGGTCAGTTTCAAAGAGGCCCTGTTTCTACCTCCCAGGTGACATGCTTACAGGGTGGAGTGGGGTCCTGTCCTGCGTGGCCCCACGGCGTGAGTGGGGGCTGGAAAGGAGACCGGGACAAGCGTCCCCAGGCTGCCATCCATGGGGACACGCACCCGAAGGGGAGGGGCCTCCGTGAGGGGTCCCTGAAAATGCCGCCAGCCCCTGTGCCGTGTCCTGGGGTGGGGGCCGGAAGTTCAGACAGAGGGGCTGGTGGGCAGGGCGGGTGACCCGCGTGTGGCAGAC